ATTCTAAAAAAATGAAACGATTTATTGAACAAGATGTTCATGAACAAGAAATTAAAAAACTCAAACTCGAATTTGAAGATACTTATCAACAAATCAAGGAAGAAGCTGTCAAAGTTATTGATAAAATGAAAGAAGAAATTAAAAAGAAAAATAAGATTATTGATGAATTGGTTGAACATATAGCCTACTACTCTATCTTTTTTGGTAGAGGATTTGAATTTGCTCAAAAACAATATGAGCAAGAAAAACTATTAAACCAAGTTTATATAGCTATAAACGATTTTACTGGTGAGACTTATAATTTTGTTGAATCAAAAGAAGAATTAGTAGAGAATACCACACAAGAAGACAAAGAAAATAAAAAAATTGATATAGAAAAATTAGATGAAAATAATAATAAAGAAGCAAATAAAAATAAAGAACCAGAAGATCTTTCGAAATATAATTATATTTATCATGAAACATTTGGTGAAAATTCTGAAAATGAATTATATTATGAATCTGATAATAGAAGTTGGAAATATGATTTTGATGATGAATGGGATTGGAATGAAAATAAATTTAGTTATGAATATTACAATTAATTTTATTTAATAAAATATTATATTTATAAAGCTAATTATATAAAATGGCAGCTTATGCTTTTTTATTTTTTTTATTTTATTTATTAATATATTACTAAATGTATAAAAAATATTTTAACTAATAAATAAAAATAAATTATAAATAAAAATTTTTTTTATATTTCCATAACTCTTACATTATTATTATCTTTCTGAACTGAAAACTTAGTTCCTTCAATAAATTTTAAATGAATATTCGAATTTGAGATTTATGAATTTAGGAATTTCTTTATTAGAATTAAGAATGTTGTTGCCTAATTCGTAATTTTACGAATTTGGTTAAAAGTAATTTATCAATTTACCTTATTCGTAATTTTACAAATTTGGATAAATCATAGCAATTAATAATTTTCCTTATTCATAATTTTACGAATTTGGTATAGTTTGAGATTAGATAAAACAGAATTTCCAATCATGTAATCAAGAATTCTTACTTTAAAATATATATAAGCTTATCTAATTTTATTGTGTGAATGAAACTAAAAAATGAAAAAAATTTTATTTATACTATTCGTTATTATAATACATTTACTCTATACAAATTTGGCCAATAATGAAAAATATTGTAATTTTATAACTGAATATGCAAATTATATATCAAAAAACTATAAAAATATATTATTTATCATTAACAATATAAAAAAGGAAAATTTTTTAAAACTTTCTTTTTTAGAATCTGTTACTCAATTAAATCAAGTTTCTTCTTTATCTTTCTTTTTAAAAGATGATTTACAAAAAAAACGTGCACAGAGGTTTAATTTTTTAGGATTTTTATGTAAAATAGATCTTGTTAATGATATTAATGAAGCAAAAAATGAACGTAAAAAAATTAGAAATAAAAATGATATTGATGATTATCAAAAAGGATTCCTTTTAAATAAGGTTATTTGTAATATTTGCATCGAAACAGAAGATTAAAAAAATGTTGCCCAATGAAATAATATATGAAATTATTGAAATAATCTGTGATCAAATATTTTTGAAAGCAATTAAAGGACATTGTCATGAAATCACTTCGAAAAAATATCATCCCAAACGACATATTGATACCTTACGATTATGGAATAGACATTTTCATAATTATTTCGAACGTTATTTTATTAATAAATTTATTAATATAAATAATAATTACAAGATAAATATTATTAATGATAACTATTTATTATTATTGTTTTATTTGGAAAAACAAGAACTCAACGAAAATTTTTATAATTTTAAAAATATTTTTCTATTTTTTATTAATAAAAAAACCAAATCATTATGTTTTTGGGAGATTATAATTTTAAATAGCTTTTTTTTACCACAAAATCCCAATGAAGAATATTTTTATTATTCTGATTTCTTTATTAATTTAGGTTGTTTTAAATTTTTTGCACTT